AATTTTTTTTATCTTTTTACTTCTTATTTTTATCGATCAAAACAATATACTTTTATTAATTTTTCCATTTATCTCCATCATTCACATATTTTATTTTCCCTTTATTTCACTCTTAATCTAGATTCATCGTTGATTTTTTTCTTTTTTTTTCGATGGAAGCACACCAGAACCAACATAGATGATGTGACCTAGTGGACTTCAGACGCTTTCTTTAATATTCTCCATTTGCATCTAGCACTTTGTTTTAAAAACTTGTGCTTTTGTCTGATACATAGATATTGACTTTTCTATTTGTCTAATCAATTGTGCAGATAGTTAACATGTTTCTGCGTCTTGTTTTGTTCAGCATTTGATGTTGACCTTTGTGTGGCTGATTAATGATCTTCATCTGATATTGGATACTGAGCCGACTTCGTCTTGGTCTCATTTTGCTCTTGTTTCTTGAATCCTTTTGATGCGCTATGGGGTGCTCCTAGGGTTTCTTTATTTGGTATTTATTGTCGACTGATGCACAATTCATGACTAGTTTCATCTGATCTTTGCTTTGCTTGACCATGCTTTAGTTTTACTTATTCTTATATATATCTGAAACACTTCTTCACATGGTTAGTGATAACAATATGTATTATATTTGTCATATTCAAAAGCTTGATGGGAGTTTCTTTGTCTGACTTAACAGTATACTCAAACCTAATACCTTGGGGAAAGAGCCTAGGATTATATATTGAATATCAATCCCTTGAGTATCCAACATATAAACCCGAATTAATAATTAAGGTTTGAGAATACTAACGAGTCAAGCTCCATTCCCAAATACATTTCTCACTAGATATTTTGTTTCAAAACTAGTTTCAAGGATTATTTTTCAATACTCAGTGAACCCTATATCAAGCAATGGGAGATCAATCCAAAACAAACATTAAAAAGAAAAAACATAATAAATCAATGAATGAAACAAACATTTATCATTGATAGGATAAATATTACACAAGAGTTCAGTTGGCTACATCTAACCCACAAAAAATGGGTACAACCACTCAAAACTATGATGACAAATCAAAAATAGAGATGGAAGAACCGAAGGAAAGACCCACAAATGACACAATCCCAAGTACTGGGAATCCCTTCCACAACTCCAAAAATCGCCCCTTATGTGAATGAGGGGAAAACCCTTGAAAATGTGTTCAAATTCGAGTTGGATGGGTTAGAGTAGCTTTTACGCATCCAACGTAATAAAACTTTGCACCTGGTGTAGAGTCTTCTAGAGAGTTGTTGTTCTCTACTTAGATTCATGTCGATACGGGTACGTATGCGCTCGATGCGATAGTGAAATTCAGAGAGTGTTACTCTTTTTTCTTCAACACGCCTAGCATGATAGCATACAAGCCCAATGCAAAGAGCTTTTTCCCGCTCCTTAAGCTCTTCATTTTTGGCTCTTTCAAACTCCAATCCCATGGATCCTCAACATCGAGCTCTTATACTCAATACCTACACAAAAAATGAGGTATATGAAGATATTGTTAGATGATTCTTGAGCTAACTATAATAATGGACGTTCTAGTAGTCAAAAAGTCAAGGGACATTGCAAAGTGGATGTTGGAGCCCACTAGGATGTAGGAACCAACTAAGAGTGAAGAAATTCCATTGACTCTGCATCATAGCATATGAAACTTCTCAGAAGCATATGAAACGTCTTTCATTATTGACAAAGTTTAAACTTTAAACATTTTGATGCAATATATTGTTCTCTATTCTCTGTTGCAAGAAGTCCGATTGGGTATGTTGTAAGGTCTTTTCTCCATTTCAATTTTGTCTTTTAATCTATGATAAGTGTACTTTCTCTTAATAGATTCGTCAATCTTAAATTATAAATTGGTTTAATTTTTTTAATAAAATGAAGTGTTAATCATATTTTAATTGGTGAAAGTATAAACTTGTAAATGCCTTGATTTATTGTTTGCTGCAATGTATGATTGGTTATGCTGTTGTGAACCTGTGATTTGCATATTTAGGTTCATTTATTTGATGTCTATGCTTTTCTCAAAGGCTAGGTTGTTTTAGGCTAAGTTAATGTTCTATCATCACTTACTTATAATAATAATGCATGTTGGACTCCAACCATGTATTTCAGGTTATAACACATATTTCAGGTTTTATTTCCTGGCCAATTAATATATGCTTTGTTACAAATTGGATTGTATAAGAATTCTAAGTGTTTCCCCTGTTTTAGTAGTTTTAGTTTTTAAGGTCATAATTAGGGTTATACATCTGAAAACCAAGCACCGCTTGACCTATATAAAAGTTGAAATATAAAAGATTCAACTTTCAATAACATACTAAATTCCATGTTAATCAATACCATTTTGTATTTAAGGCTGAGTATATTTTAAATATCGAATTATTGAGTATATTTTACGTGACATCAATTAGTTCATTAATAAATGTCAAGAAATACTAATTTGAATCTAAAATTTAAACTTATTTTCTAATTACGTTGCTATTCACTTAATCTGAATATTAAAATTCATCATTATTTATTTATGTTCAAATGCACTTTCAGCCTTTCCAGCAGCACAAAAGAATCCACTAATAAAGGTAAATAAAATTACCAAGGATCAGAAAACTCAAAATTACACTTGCAACTTGGTAAACATTATTTATTCTTCTTTAGTTTTGAACTTTTTAATCTCATATTAGACAGATCTATAAATTATGAATAATAAATAATCAGACAAATGTCAAGAACATATTGAAACATAAAAAGTTTTTTCATTTCTTGAAAAGTATCATTCTGGCATTGCAGGTGTAGTACTTAAAATTCATAATGGATGAGCAACAAAGGATCAACGTTGTTGGTTCTTCCTCCAACTCTTGTTCCAAATCTCATGATATTTTTCTAAGCTTTCGTGGTGAAGACACTCGTTGGAACTTCACAAGCCATTTATATGAAGCTTTGAATAAAGAGAAAGTCAAAACTTATATCGACGACCAACTTAAAAAGGGAGATGAAATTTCACCAGCGCTCATTAAAGCTATTGAAGATTCTCGTGTATCTATTGTTATATTCTCAGAGAACTATGCTTCCTCAAAGTGGTGCTTGGGTGAACTCAGTAAGATTATGGAGTGTAGAGAAGAAAGTGGACAGGTTGTGATTCCTGTGTTCTACATGGTAGATCCAGCTGATGTGAGGAAACAATCCGGAAGCTACGAGCGAGCCTTTGTAAAACATGAGGGAGACCGCAGGTGCAAACAATGGAAAGCTGACCTAACTAAAGCTGCCAATTTAGCTGGGTATCACTCTAAAAATTACAGGTAAATAAAATGGATTGAGAGTTATTAAATTTTCTTAAGGTAAAAATGAGAAAGGAAATTCTATGATTGAACCTGAATTCCTTTAGAATTTGTTTAACTTATAACATATCATTTATTTCTTTGTTGTTGTTTCATATGCTAGGAATGAACCTGAATTCCTTAAGAAAATTGTTGAAGATTTATTGGGAAATTTGGCTCCTAGACACCCAATCCATCTTAAAGGATTGGTTGGAATTGAGGAAAGTTTTGCAAAGATTGAATCATTACTAAAACTTGGGTCAAGTGAAGTTATAACCTTTGGAATATGGGGTATGGGAGGCATAGGTAAAACCACCCTTGCTACAGCTTTATATGACAAACTATCTGATGAGTTTGAAGGTCATTGCTTTCTTACAAATGTAGGGGAAAGTTCACACGAATTGATAGCTTTACGTGAAAAACTTTTTTCTAAGTTGCTAGGGAAGAAAGATTGTGATTTTAAACTATCGGACATAAGTAGGCTTCGATATAAAAAAGTTTTGATTGTGTTGGATGATGTGACTACCTCAGAGCAATTTAAAAAACTAATCATAGAATATGATTTCTTGGGTCCAGGAAGTAGAGTCATTGTTACAACTAGAGATAAGCATATACTTGGCCCAAATGACAAAATATATTCGGTCCAAGATTTAGATTTTTCCCACTCTTTACAGCTTTTTTGTTTGACTGTTTTTGGAGAAAAAGTACCTAAAGATGGATATGAAGAACTGTCAAGAAGGGTGATTTCCTATTGCAAAGGTGTTCCTTTGGCTTTAAAGGTTTTAGGTGCAAATCTTCGTTTAAGAAGTAAAGAAGCATGGGAATGTGAATTGAGAAAACTTCAAAGGATTCCAAATATGGAAATTCACAATGTATTAAAATTAAGTTATGATGGCTTAGATGGTACTCAGAAGGACATATTTCTAGACATTGCATGCTTCTTCAAACAGCACTCAAGAGGTTTTGTAACAAGTGTACTGGAAGCTTTTGATTTCTATCCAGAATCTGGTATAGAAGTCCTTCTAGATAAATCCCTCATAACAATTTCAGAGTACAATGAGATTGAAATGCATGGTTTGATACAGGAAATGGGTTGGGGAATTGTTCAAAATGAATCTATCCAAGACATTGGAAGACAAAGTCGATTGTGGAACCATGAGGATGTGCTTGATGTGTTGAAATATAACAAGGTAAACAAGAGGCGTGGTTATTTATATTTGACGATAGATTTATCTTTTTTGAAAATAACTAGTACAACAACCTTCACTAATTATTGTAATTTTCTATTTGTTAGGGAACTAATGTTGTTGAAGGCATAATTTTAGATTTGTCTAAATTAAGTGGAGATCTAAATGTGAGTTTCAATTCCCTTGCAAAGATGGCTAAGTTGAGATATCTTCAAATATATAACCAACGGGTGTTACATTACCTCGCTAAAGTGTCTACTACAGATGATCTAAATGTAAGAATCAATTCCCTTGCTAAAATGGCTAACTTGAGTCGTCTTCAAATATTATATCAAGAATTGGGGTTATTGTGTAGTTTTAATGTGTACCTTCCAAATGATCTCAATGAATCATTTAATAAATTGAGATATCTTCGCTGGGATGGTTATAATTTTGAGTCTTTGCCATCTAACTTTCTGTTGAACAACTTGTGCTTCACATGTTTATATTTGATGATAGATTTATCTTTGTTGAAAATAACTAGTATGACAACCTTCGCTAATTATTGTAACTTTTGTTTGTTAGGGAACTAATGTTGAAGGCATAATTTTAGATTTGTGTAAAATAAGTGGAGATCTAAATGTGAGTTTCGATTCCCTTGCAAAGATGACCAACTTGAGATTTCTTGAAATATATCATGAATGGATGTTACGATACCTCCGTATTGTTTCCACTACAGAAGATCTAAATATATCATTTAATAAATTGAGGTATCTTCACTGGGATGGTTATAATCTTGAGTCTTTACCATCTAACTTTTGTGTTGAACAACTTGTAGTGCTTCACATGTGTTATAGCAACCTCAAAAAGCTTTGGAATGGGGTTCAGGTAATTGGCAACCTAATTATGTTGGCTCGAGTACTTTTATGTATGATTAGGTTTCTCTTTCAATTACTGCTAGTGATTAGTAATTTAACAATGCCTAAAAATGTGATCTGTATATTTTTTCGTTGCAGAATCTTGTGAATTTAAAGAAGATTACCCTTTCATACTCCGGATACTTGATTGAAATACCAGACTTATCTATGGCAGAAAAACTTGAAATAGTAGATCTTCGCTGTTGTACAAGCTTGCATAAGCTTCATCCATCTATTTTGTCTCGTCCCAAGCTAACATATTTGGATTTAAGTTACTGCAAATCGATTGAAAGGCTCAACATTCATTCAAAATGTATGAAAGCATTATATCTCAGATATTGTTCATTTCTTAAGGAAGTCTCATTGAGATCGGAGAAGTTGACAATAGTGGACCTATTTTGCTGCAAAGTCATTGAAAACGTTAACCTTCATTCAAGATCTCTAAGAACACTTTATCTCGGTGGTTGTTCAGTTCTGAAGGAAATCTCAGTGACATCAGAGAAAATAACAAAAGTGAAGTTTTCTAGTGCCACTATACCTGCATTGTCGTTATCAATTGGTCACTCATTCTTCTTAGAAGTGTTAAACCTAACTGGAAGTAATATTGAGAGCTTTCCTACAAACATCAAAAACCTTTCAATGCTGAAAGAGCTTTGTTTAAGAGACTGCAGGGAACTCGTGTCTCTGCCGGAGCTTCCACCATCCGTGAGAGTGCTTCGGCTACATGACTGCAGGAAACTCATGTCTTTGCCAGAGCTTCCACCTAACCTGGATACACTGAGCGCCTTTAACTGCATTTCTTTGGAGAAAGGGATCTCTCAACAGCTACTGTTACAACACATGTTACATAGATACATACCTTGCGTACACCAACGGCTTTGTAACTTATGGGATAGAGATTATTTCTCTTTCCCGAAAGACCGTGTCATGCACGAGTGTGGGTTTCATACAGCGGAGGGTTCAATAACTATTTCTTGTCTTCCAATATCTCACTTAAGCGGTTTCATTTACTGCATCGTTCTTCCTAAGCGATTTGTCTCCAATGATATTATGATATCTATGTATCAAGATCACGTAAAGGTGAGGTCCTGGGTAGGTCGGCAAAGGTTTAGAAGTTGCGACAATGCAATGTCAGATCACGTCATGTATTGGTATGATGACTTTAGCCAATACGACAAAATATTAAGTGGGGACATAACACTTACAATCGAATTTGTTGGAAGAGAAGAAATAATAACAGAGTTTAGGGTGTTTCCGGTATATGCTACAGCATCCGGGTTTAAGCTGGAAATTTGTGAATCGGAATCCATTGAGTTGGAACAACTTCCTACATCGAAGAGGAGGAGGACTCGGCCAGAAATGATAAACTTCCTCTGATGACTTCATCGGTATGAAACTCACCCACTCCTTCATTCAAGACTCCTTCTTCTTGTTTTCTTTTTTACTTAAACGAAATTAGACCATTGGATATAGAATTTATCAGTTAAAAATACTCTTCATTCTAGAAAATTAAGCCTAGTATAGTATGATATATAGCGATAACATTTTGTGCTTAACATGTTGAGCAGGTTTTCTTATGAATCGCTTGTGGAGAAAATTCATGGGAAATGGCCACTAGCTTATTGGGGCTTGGGAGAGTCAAAGCTGCACTTATAATTGTTTCGTTGTCTTTCTGTCTTCATTCAAAAATAAACAGGGACAATGTTATGATATTAATTCATTCCACTTGGTACGTGCAGTAACTTTGGATAAGATAATTGCGTGACATTGAAATTTTATAGTAATGTTTTGACCATTCAAAATAGTAGAACAATATTAACTTTTCATTTTAAAATATCAATATCTATATCTTTATCTTTATTTATAATAATATATAAAAAAAGATAAATATTTTGATGTCCATTTTTATAAAGTCAATTTTATTTTTATTTTATATTGAATTTTTAATCTAGTAATATATATGTTAAGGATAAAATTGAAAAAGACATAAAAAACCGCTTTTATTAATGTTCATATGTTATAAAATAACTATTTACTTTTTTTTTTCAGAGACAAGAGTGCCCTTTTTCTAGCTAGTACATATAAAGTAGTAGTGTTTTAATATAACTGGTTTATCTTTATTTTTATCTTTATATATAAAAAAGCAATAGTGTTATAACATAATTGCAGTAATGAATGCAAAAAAGTTACTTTTGCCAAAAAAAAATGTACATAATTCTTAAAATATTTTTTAAAGTCAAGAAAATTATTTTCACTTCTAAACTACTAGAGTTGTTACATATGGATCTATTTGATCCAACTAGGACACTCAATCTAGGAAAAAAAAAGTATGAATTTATTATTGTAGTGGACTATTCTAAATATGCATAAGTATACTTCTAAGGCCACAAACACGGGTCATTGAAGGTCTTTGAAATATTTTGTAAGCGTGTTCAAATTGAAAAAGGATTTTGCATTGTTGTCATTGGAAATAAATCATGGAACAAAAATAGTATCTTTCACAACTTCTACTAATCAAGAACATTTTAACAAAATATTGTTGAAATAAAGAACTGTACTTTACAAGAAATGGAAAGAATACTTCTTTGTGAAAATAATTTGCCAAATTCCTTTTGGGCAAAAGCAATGAACGTACAACCATTACTAAACAAGACTCCTTATGAATTATAAGGGGGAAGACTAAACATATCATACTTCCATCCCTTTGGATGTGAATGGTATATCCTAAACACTAAGGATAAACTAGGAAAATTTGATTCCAAAATGGATAAGGGTATCTTTCTTGGATATTCTAATATCTCAAAGGCCTATAAAGTTCACAACTCTAAAACCTCTATGGTAAAAGGATTTATCCATGTAAGGTTTAATAATGCATTAACGACTAATATGATACTATCAAATCTAGAAGAAGACTTTACAAATTCGTAGATTTGAGTGGATCAAACGAAAGAACTAGACTCTAAAAATCAAACAATGCATTCTTTTGAAGGACAGACAAATCAGTTGAATGAATCCACCAGACCTTATAGAGATTGGAAGTTCGTCAACTATCATCCTCAAGATCAGATCGTAGGAGATACGATTGAGGGCTTCAAGACTAGGTCTACTTTCAGCGATAATGCTTTATGTGCTCTGGTTTCTAAAATAGAACCAAAGAACATAGATGAAGTATTAAGAGATGATGATGGGATCGTTGCCATGGAGGAAAAGCTCAATCAATTTGAAAGAAATGATGTTTGGACCTTAATACCAAAGCGTGACTGAAACTAGATGGGTGTTCAGAAACAAGCTAAACAAACAAGGTAAAGTGATAAGGAATAAGGCTAGATTGATAACTCAAGGTTACAATCAGGAAGAAGGTATATATTTTCATCGGGATAATCGATTACCATAGGAGATAATCGATTACCACAGAATGAAATACATATATGGGTTCTGAGAAGCTTGGGATAATCGATTATCCTATAATCGATTACCTTGACACTTTATGCTCAAAATTCATTTTTCAGATGAACTGGTAATCAATTACCAAATCAGGTAACAGATTACTTGCGTTATGACTCTTTATAACTAAATTACGTTTTGCACTTTAAATACCTATTTTTTTTAAGAAATTAAAAGAGAATATTTTTGAAAAAGAACATTAGAGAAAAAGAATACTTTCAAAAACAAGAATCAAAGGGTGATCAAAGAAACCTTTTTTGAAATACTAAGAAGTGCAAAGATAGAACATGTGTTCTTGAAGGAAGAAATTCAAGAAGTGAATTCAATTGTGAAAGATCAATGTCTACACAAATTAGGTGCTATCTTTTTTTTTTATCTCTTTTAAACTGTATTTTCGTTATGTATGGTATATCTCTTGAGGTAGGGTGTCTCAACAAGAGATCTAGAAATCTTGAGTGAGATTTTTCAAGTAATTTCTATGGGGTGCAAAAATTTATGTGTTTTTCAGTCTTGTAGTGTCAAGATTGATGTGTGTTAGCATTCTTGTAATATTGTGCGTGCATAGTGTTTGTAAACAAAATTATAGTGAATAATCTTTGATTTAGTGGGGTGCTAAATCAGAGAAAACTGGATGTAAGCCAAGTGGATAGCTGAACCAGTATAAATTTCTGTGTTTTTTATCTTCTTACTCTTATCTCTTTAATAATCTAGTTATGAATATGAATAAAGAATTCAAAGATTTGTGAGATATGTTGTTTCAATTACCACTTATACTCTGAATATTATTCTTGTAATTGAAATTAATTAAGAAGTTGGTAATATAAAATCATCCTTGATCATTACAACTGATTGATTTGCTACGTTAAACATTGAAATTATGATATATTGGTATTGTATCTTGTAATCTGCTGTAATTTGTTAAATCAAATTGACTAAAGTTTGAGTATTGAATATATAAGTAGGCTATATAATTAAGAAATTTTGAAAATAGAGTCATCTTAGGATAGAATCTATTTAACCCGTCCTTCTAGATTCTAATAAACAGGGACCAATAACCCTCTCAATCCACTCTCAACCAAGGGATGTCTACCAAAATCTAGTCGAAGCATTATAGTTTGTCGTGGTTACCACTTAACCATGTTTTAGGCTCCCTACCACAACACCCCCAAGGTTTATATATTTGACCATTTAGACCCTTCTACATAGACTCACACTACCTTACAAACAAAGTATGAATGCATTGACTTTACACACAACAACATCACACCACAATAATGTGATGACCCATTTGGTGATTATTGTCAGATCGTTAAGTCTAGACTTCTCCATAACATACCAAATCCTACTTGGATTTCATCATTGTTAGCTAAAAGATGGGCTTACACATCTCATCCTTATAAATCATCATGATATTATCCTTAAGCATCAACACCATTCATTTGTCACATATTACAACATTCATTGTTACCACATCATTATCATAATCTCTATTATTCACCCAATCACATTACATCAAATTATACATTTAGTCTCATGCACTTATTGTTCTTCCTCAAATACTGCTTCTAAAACGATTACTAATTTTTGTTATTCCCTTATCTTAATCCAATGTAACTACTCTTCGTAGGATCCTTTATAACTTAATTACCTTGGTAAACATTACTTATTTCAAATAATGGTGTGGTGCCTGACAAGGTTGAAATCGCGCCTAGTGTAGAAAGATCAAGGATATCTCCACTAGATTTACACCTGACATGGTAATGTCCTTGCCCAACGTGGAAAGTTCAAGGACCTTTCTACTTGAATTGCACCTAGGGGGGATACTCTCACTCTCAAAGTTGAGGAGTGAGAGACCCCTCTAGAACTAAATAGCTTGACATTATGTAGGTCATGCTCGGCGTTATCCATTTCCAAGGATGTCTTCAAAATGGTGTTAGGCGAGACGCCCCTCACCCAACGTAGAGAGATAAGGGACCTCTTTGGCATCTTTGTACTTGGCATGACTTTCTCCACGCCTTATATGAAATTGTGCTCTCACACCCAATGCCACGAAAGTCCACTATTTTTGCTGATTCTACACTCCATAGAATTGTGAAGCTCGAAATCTAGGCTCTTCCAAAACCCATCTACATACATTAACATGCTCCTTTTTGAATTCAATTGGTAAAAAGACTGTATGACAAATACAAAACAAGTATTTAACATCAACTTATACAACTCCATCCAATTTCATAAGAAACCCCAATTTATGCACAATATCCTAACCCTCAATCATACCAATCCACAAGGATCAATTCATCATAATTCAGTACACAAAATTACAAAAACAAAACAACAATACATCACCAATTAGACTTATATGCATCTACACAAGTTTAAATCAAAATCCTAAAAGGCTTAAGGATCGCCTCTATGTGTACCCCTCATATGTGTCCATGGACTCAACATCCTTGCTCTTCCTTACCTTGTGTGACTATCCTACAACACAAACACTTCCTTTGTAGCCTCAGTCACTACTGTGTTTTTTCTTTGATGACCTTTTCTAGGTTCTTTCCTCCTCTGCATGTGCTCTTAAGGTTCAAAAAGATGTATAAGAAAATATCAAACCCTTATTTTTTTTTAATTTTAATAAGTCTTTGAGTTGAGCTTAGAGTTCAACCCACTTTCTTTTTTCTTTGGTCAACAATTTTTATTTTATTTCATTTAGTAAAAATATTTAAATTATATTACTAAACTAATTAATTTAATTAATTATTATGTCAAAAAATATAACTAGTTTATTAAACATTAATTTAGTTTATTTTATGAAAAACGAGATATTACATTGTGAGTAAAGTAAAATGAAAAATTGAGGGCCTAAAGGTGAAATGAGGATAATTGCTTAATGAAAAAAATCATGAAAGTCAGTTTGCATGTTGAAAAGCTCTATGTTATGAAAACTTTGGTGTGAGAATGTGTTATGTCTGCAGTGAAGTGAATTGTGTGCGATGTTGTGGATAAATAGTTCATAATACAAATAAAGACATTACTAACAGCTATGCAATTCAAATTTCATTTGAATATTTAGATTATTATTGATGCTAACTTATCCTATGCCCTGAATATAATTAAGCAGTTCTATTATCCTATGCCCTGAATATAAGCAGTTGAGGTGTGTGAACACTTTTTTTTTTCTTTCTAAGAAACGAATGCTTCTGATCATTTAAATTTATGCCTTCAATTAAAACGATTTTTTTTTAAGATGATGCACATGTTTCACTCTTCGAACTTTTCACTTGTAAGATTGTGATAAACTGGAAAAGTTTTTTAAGAAAATTCTCGGAGATTCGATATATTGATATTCACACATTGATCCTATGTTTGATATCTATTATG